AAACACACATCATGGTAAAATCAATAAATTCATCGCTCCGCTCAGAATCTAAAACGTTCAACCTCCGTGAGCAAGCTTATATCCAATTAACATTGAATTAAGCTGTCTTTATAAGCATCAAACCGCTTCCATTATTTTCAATAACTTCTTTAAAAGCATACTAGATAACTAAAAAGTCTTCCAGGAAGTGTACACTGATGGATCAAAATCTGAGGAAGGTGTCAGATTCTTTATAATTTTCTCAAGTAAAAATATACTACGTAAATTACACAATATTTGCTCCATATTCACAGCCAAAGCATTAGCTATCCTCATGGCAATCGAGATTATAATCCATGAAGCTCATACTAATTTCATAATCCTGAGTGATTATCTAAGTATGGTAAAAATTCTACTAAATCATTTCTATCCCGGCGACATTGCTCTTAAAATTCAGAACGTGCTCAACAAAACTTTTCTTTTGGGTATACATATCATGTAAGTGCTGACTGTTAGAGAAGTTCTGTTTCTCTGTATTTACTGCTGCTAAAATGATTAAACTTGTGACACAATATTAAATATTCTATTCCAARCATACATAATAATAATGTTAATAATGTTTGATTGTATACAATTATTATACAAGTCATTAATGTCAATTTTTCTTTCATTATGAGTGAATACAATAAATGTGTTAAAATTAAAAACAATACATTTCATATATTTTGAAAATTGAATAAACAAAACTTTTATTTTTACATTTCTTACATATTTTTATTAAAAATGTAATCATCATTTTCATTATTGTTGTAATTAAAAACATAGTAAATACTTAAATAAAAATCTTAATACAAAAGTATATTGTTAAGCAATCATTTTTTTTCTTATTAAACTTATAGATACAAGTTTAACAATACCTTGACGAATATTAGACACTTGGTTCAATAAAAACTGATCAGTAGATTCATTATCTTCATTACTTTCCGTAATGGTATCATCCAAGCGCATTTTTATTAGAGATATGTCACCAATATTAAAGTAACATTTATTACTGTCGTCAATGAACATCAGAACATCCATTAATAATGTTAGTCTAAAACTAAAAAACATACACAGTAATTAAAAAAACTGCATATTAATTTAAAGTAAATAATGCGTAATAGAAAAAAAATCTTACTATTTTGGACAAATATTAGATCTTAAAAGTTCTATGTATAATGATGCGGCCTCGCTGAGTTTATTACCAATAGCAAGCTTAAGAAATTGTATATACTTTCCTAAAAAAATATAAATATTGTTAGGTAAGACATACAAAAAATACATTTAATTCAATATAAGTTTTATTTCGTTCAAATGTTTAAAGACCCTCCTATACCTAAGGGRTTTTAAATTGTTTTGATTATTGAAGAAAATATTAGCAGCCTGGTGAATCACCCCAAATACTATAATTATTTATTATTATTTCCATTGTAATTTTACCATCAATTTTTTTTTCTAAACATTTTGAAGCGGTTTCATTTTAAATAGTTAAAATTGAACTTTTACATTTGTTTATATAATTGCATTAATGTTATTTTTTTTTCACAACATAGTCAATTTTTAATGATGAATCAATATCAATTATTTCTGATTTGTTAATCCATATTTTGTAAATTGGAGTTTACTTCATATAAGATCAAATAAAAATATCAAGATAAGACAGAAAAGAAATAATAAGAATAAAATAATGTATTAAAAGATCTAAATAATAATAAAATTTAGTAATTACCAATAAACATAAAACGATCACAAGTGACAACAATTGATCCTAAATTGTCCAGTATATCTGGACAAGCAAAGGATCCACTCTTAACATATTCTTTCAAGTAGAGATCACCTAAATATGTGGCAAAACCACTGTCTTGGCCTCTTATTGCCCAACACAGAGCTTCACCAATTCTTAATTTTTGTAAGCTTAACATTCCTTTCACTTTACAAACACTAGAAACTAATAATAACAATAATTTTAGTTGAAAATATATTTTATTAATTAGCAATGTACATTTTAATTAAGTAAAATAGTTTTCATATATTTACTCACCAACATTATGTAAACGCTTGGCCGTAGCATAATGTAAAATTTTTGACACTCTCAAATCTGATGTTATTCCCAACTTTGACAACAACATTGATAGATGTTCTTTACCAACAGTTGAACAGTAATCTAAGTAAGTGACACCAGCTTGCCATAATGAGTGATGAGTCATGAGAAATGTTCCATAATCAAGGAGGTATTGTTCATTTGGATTTGTATTTTCTCTGAAAATATATAACTTGTATAATTAATATATACATATTAATATTGAGTTATTTTTTATCTTACACAATTTCAGATATGCCAAGTTCTGGTTCAATTTTGTCACACAGATGTAACAAATTAGTCAAATGAGTTGAAGACCATCCAGAATCAGGATAGGTTTTTAATTTTTTAACAAACTGAAATAAAAAATAAAAATAAATTAAT